TAGTCGCTCACGGTCACAAATATTCTTCTTAGGCAATGCAATTAAAAGCACCCAAATTCGAATGCGGGCCTGCATACTCCTGAATAGTTTAACATTTTATTGCAAAGATTACGCAGAATGTTTATCACAAGCCAAGTGCTGAAGCACTTAACAGAAATTAACGAAGTAGATAATGAAAAACAGGGTTGACGGACGCACAAAGTACGGTTATCTTTGTTGCCGAAAAAATAAGTAAAGGGATTAAAGTTTCTGAAGGCTAAAAATGAGCTTCGCTATAGTTCGATGTAACTTTACAGTGGCACACTGTTTGGCTTCGGCATGGGCTGAGAAACAAACAGGCGACGGCAAAACAGCCAGCCGTTGAAGTGTGCAAGCAGTCTCATGTGTTGGCGGGGAAAATGTACATGTCTTTACATTTGCGGATAGGATGAATTGGAAGCATTAATCGGGAGTACGGCAGGAACTGTTGTCAAGCGAATATTTTTTGAATACATAATTACAGTGATGTCTGGATTGGGTGAGGACATACAGGTTTACAAGGATATTAGTAGCTAGATAGCCACTGAGAATAGAGGTCTTTAGCAATTACTTGGGCATAGGATAAGCAATAACAATCGATCAAGCTCTTCGATACTTTTTAATTGCCACGTTCCAGCTAATAATTACTTTGGGGAAAAATATATCCCATTGCCAACGCCTAAAGTTTCCTTAAATATACTTAACTGGTGCTTCCCTCACGACCATAAATGTTGCTCCTGCAAATATTCAGAAACTGACAAGCCAGCTTACTAGCTCGCACTCAGAAGGAACTAAGAACATCCCGAACTCTCTTATTAAACAGCTAAGAGATTTTCCTCCTCTGCATACCAAACTCTCTTCAGTCTTTCTCAAAAATGATTTCTTCCCGTACTATTGAAAACTTTTGTCATTATTGCACTATGAAGCAGCCGCTTCCGCCCCCCCCCCTTTTCTCCGGCTCCCTTTTGTCGGTCGATGACCGCGACAATCGTTGACAGGCCGTTGACACACAACCACCGCTGACGGCTAGAACTGGGACCCGTCCTGTCCAGCTGCAGTGACCCCCGGTAGCCCTGACAAACTACTCTCACATCACGCGCGTCGCACGACCTGGCTTGAAAACCATGAGCCCCTGTGATTATGCGTCCCCCTAATCCTCCCCTATCCCGTTCAATCTCATGATCCGTACTCAGCAAGTCACCCCCGCAAACAACCCACCGCGACTGACCTTCGCTGTGAACGGACGCTTATCTCTGTCGCAAGCAAACAGCCAACTTACGGCAACCTGCCCTGTGAACACCCCTGCTAAATGATAGCAAAGTCTTCCTCACCGATGACACTGACAAGGCGGAGTCGTTTAGTGCTTTCTTTGCAAAACACCTTGCTACCGAGCCCGATCCGGTCCCTTTCTTTCGATCACTTTCAGATAGGACACCTAGTACAATTGATGTCTCCTCAGATCTCATTAAGAAACATATAAGCCGTTTGAAATACTCACACTGCACAGGAACGGACGGGATTCCGAATTCCATTATTAAGCAAGCGTCCGACCTTCCCATATTGCTTAGTCATTTATTCTCGGTTTATATTTCAAAAGGATTCTTTCCTCAAACATGGAAAACGTCAATTAACATTCCCGTCTTCAAGTCAGGATCTCGGTCCGATGTTAATAACTATCGGGGCGTGCACAAAACGCCGTCTCTAGCAAAGCTTCTCGAAAGGATTATTTTCAATGAAATTCTTGACTTCTGCCTAGCTAATCGGCTTCTGAGCTCTAGTCAGCATGGATTTTTACCTGAACGATCCTGCGAAACATGTCACTTGGCTTTTATTAATCTAATCACTTCTCTTCTTAATGAGCGGCAGTCAGTGGTAGTTATTTACTTTGATCTTAGCAAAGCCTTTGACAAGGTGCCCCACAGACGTCTTTTAGTAAAATTGGAAGCTCTCGGCATCCGGCCGCCTCTACTCGACTTCATCAGGTCCTATCTGTCCAACCGATATCAGAAAGTCATGGTCGGTGATAGCTACTCGAAACCCCACTCGATCACGAGTGGCGTACTTCAAGGCACGGTCCTGGGTCCGCTACTCTTCCTTCTGTACATCAATGATATTTCGACTGAACTCGGAAATTCGCAAACTGTTACCCACGCCGATGACCTCAAGTGTGTGTACTCGTACTCTAAGGACACCGCAAACGTTTGTGTTGAAAAAATTTATGCCGATTTACTACGCTTAAGCAGATGGGGTTCGACATAGCAGATGGAGTTTTCATCATCCAAGTGTAGTTTCATGTCTTTTGGTCCTACCAAACTTCCTGGTCCCATAATTTTTCAGAATAACCCACTCTTAGAATGCTTCACCATAAAGGACCTAGGTCTAAGTTGTACAAATAAGCTTGCTTTATCACCTCATGCAGATAGAATCTCTGCCAAAGCCGCGCAGATATGTGGATTCATATCGCATAATTTTTTACTTCCGGAAATGAAGCTAAGACTTTATCAAATGTTTATTCTTCCAGTCCTCGAATGCTGCTGTCCTTTCTTCGGTTTAATGAACGCCTGCGACCGTAATAAAATCGAAAATGTTCAGAGGGTTTTCACCCGGAAACTGTTCTCTCAAGCTTCGTCCGGTATTTCTTATACTCAGAGATGTCAGCTGGCGAACATTAAGTTTTTGTGGGTTAGAAGACTCGAAGCTGGCCTTTGCTTCCTTTTTCGCATCAACTCTAGCTCCAATCTTCCGCCCATTGACACTCTCATTCCGAGAGATCGGTCTTATGCCACGCGCAACTCCTGCATGGTGATTCCGCCGCCTCTTTGTACTACATCTAGGCGTTCCCTCTTCTTTGCTTCCAAATATGCCTTCCTTTGGAATAATCTTCCGCCTGAAATTAGATTATCGCCTAAGATACTGGTATTCAAGTCGAACTTACGCAAACATCTTACACCGGAAAGCATAAACGCACTGTTAACGGTCTCATTCCCGAACACTCAGATTCTTGACTTCGAGAAGGGTCCTCCTGGGATTTAGTGGTAGATAAAGTGGTAACTCTTTATTATATCATTAGAAACCCCTGTTTTGAATTGGTTTCTAAATCTACTACTATCACTCCTCCCCCATAGCGACAATTTTCGCGGTTCTTGATGTCATCTCCCGCATTCCGACCTCATGCGGTCTGTCGACGCTCACGGCGGAACCCTCAGTATTCACTGTCTACTAGTATTTCGGTCGTGCCTCCCTTCCCCACTGCTCGGCTGAGCTCGAAGCGTGCTGTGGCCGATCGCACCTGGGTTCCTCTCGTCTGTCCTCTTTGACGCGAATAGTCTCATGCGGCGTATCAATCCGGCCCAGACGATCTCAATTGTGAATCCCGTATACAATGCCATATGCAAGCCAGTCCTGTCTGACCCGCATACGTACTCCTCAAGGCTGAGAGTTATTGCTACCCTGACGATGACTGACAACATTCCGTTATATACCGCCACCTACAGGCCAGTCCTGCTCGCTTTTTCTGTCATTATTTTTATTGAGGGGTTTTTTTCTCCTGTAAAATTAATCCAATCATTTTTAACTTTTTGTAAGGAGTTTTTTTCATCCCTCAATCATCATGTTTCTCAATGGTCTTCTAATTCAGAAACTATGAATTGCATTTTGTAAAGATTCGGTCTACCTCGTCTAAAACTCGCATGTAAATTTGTTTTAACTTCCTTTGATGGGACCCCGCCGGGTCTTTAAAAAGAAACTATCTATCTATTTATTTACAGAATAAACTGGACCTGACATCTCCCTGACTTCTGACATTAGACGAAACGAACTTATTGTGCGTGGTTTAAGTTGATCTCACATCCTGGACAGCCACAAGTATTTAAATCTGGCTGTCGTTTTGATGTTCAAAACTACCGAGGTGTCCATATATCGCCTTCTCCCGCCGAAACGTTTGAAGAAATGGTCGCTTTGAAAATTACTGACTTTTTTTATAGCCAAGCATGTTTAGTTAAGTCTATTTTAATTTTTTTGGTTAACGTTTCCCTGAGTATCATTCCGCCTCCTTTGAAGTAAGGGTGACTGATCACGGATCAAACGCGTCGACTGAAGAACTACGCGTGCCTACATTCCCACCAGAGGAAGGACAGACTGGAGGAAGGCTTCCCCGCTACTTCTGGTTTCCCTGTCAGTTGTCTTCTCCCCCCCCCCCTTTGACCGCGTAACCCGTGATCCGTTCCTCTCTCCAGATAACTATTTAATAAACGTTCGGTTGCTGGCGATTCGATTTTAATATTGTCTGCTGAAGTGCGCGTGTTTGAGTGTGTAACATCTTCATGCAAGAAACCTCAGAGACGAATATGCTTATCGTCACTCCCATTGACGACCAACGCCAATCACGTCCGAAGGCATCAATCTAGACGAAGCTAAACCGACAGGTAACCCGGATATTGCATGCTTTCTACCCGATCGCTCTTGGGGAACGCTCAGTTCAGTTCAATTCGGTTTGTATGAGGCAGAAATAGGTATTGAACCTTCAAACTCCCTGTTTGTCACAAGGAGGCGAATTATATTTAAAATATCAAAATGCAAACACCAAGCAGCTGCAGACTTTTTGGAACAGACCTGATCAACGAATTACCACAACTGTTAAAAACAGTAACACTTCCAAATGTGCTGTACAGTAGTCAGTCTATGCATATTCGTGCTGTAGAATATTTGTGCCATCCCAGTTTCTGAGGGAGACGAATTAAATGCTACTATTCATATTCAATGAACGGGGGACGGTAATAAAATAAAAAACAAACGTTACTGAAATACAGACAGTAATGTCGGAAATACAGTAAACTGTTAGAGCGGAACGCTAAG